ATCGGCATATGATATGATCCCAAATAAAGTCTATAACTTCTTTCTCTCTTATTTTCTCGAATGCCTGCACTTCAACCCATTTAGAAAATTAGTCAATCATAAATAAAATGAATTTGGCTTTACCTGGGGTCGATGGTAGAGGGCCAACGATATCCATTCCCCACTTCATGAACGGCCATGGGGATAGGACTGAGTGGAGTTGCTCTCCGGGTTGGTGGATCATCGGTGCAAACCTTTGACATTTGTCATATTTACGAATAAATTCCTTCGCATCTTTGCCCATATCGATCCAATAATACCCTGCTCTGATTATTTTTCGAACTAGTGTATCGGCTCTAGAGTGATTCCCGCAAGTACCCTCGTGCACTTCCCGTAGGATGTAATCGGTATCTCCCGGACCCAAGCATACTACCTACGGTCCATCGAATGTTCTTTGGTACAGCATTCCATCCGAAGCCAATGTAAATCGAGCAGCTTTAGTCCGTAGGGTTCTGAAATCTTTAGGGTCCGATGGGAGTTTTCCGCTCTTCAAGTATTCAATATACTTGTTTCTCCAATCCCAGGTTAAGCTTGTAGAATTTAGTTCGGCGTGACCTTCTTCGATTACCGATCTCGAAAGTTGAACAACATTCCCCGAGTCCGAGTCATCTACCTCGACCAACGACCCCAAATTCGCAAGCGCATCTGCCTCATTATTCTGTTCCCATGGTACATACCATAAAGTCCATTGTTTGAAATGGTGCAAAGTGACAAGCAGTTTATCTAAATACCTTTGCATTCTACCTTCTCGAACTTCGAAGGTTTTGTTTACTTGACTCACCACCAGCAAGGAGTCGCAATTGGCTTCAATGACTTCTGCTCCCAAGTTTCTAGCTAGCTCGAGACCTNGCCGTACGGGGTTGATATTCGATATCGTACCCACTGAGTTCGACGGCTCAATTGTCCAGTCGGCCTAATAACTCGGGTTTGTGCAAAATATTACGAAGCGGGTAAGTGGTTAACACACATATGGGATGACATTGAAAGTACGACCTTAACTTCCTAGAGGCGCTTATCAGTGTAAGTGCCAATTTTTCTAGGAGCGGATATCTAGTTTCCGCTTCTCCTAAGGTTCGACTCATATAATAAATAGGGAATTGCGTACCTTGCTCTTCTCGAACTAGGACACCGCTTACGACGATTTCCGATACTACCAAGTACAAACAAAGTTTTTTATCTGTTTTTGGAGTGTGAAGTAGTGGTGGGCTTGATAGATATCGCTTTAGTTCCTCTAATGATTGTTGGCACTCCGGGGTCCAAGCAAAATCGTTCTTCTTTTTGAGTAGAGAGAAAAATTTGTGACTTCGGTCTGATGATCTTGAAATGAATCGTCCTAAGGCTGCAATCTGACCCGTTAGCCTTTATACGGCCTTCACGCTGTCCACAACGACGATGTCTTCGATGGCCTTGATTTTATTGGGGTTAATCTCTATTCCCCGATGTGACACCATGAAGCCGAGGAACTTGCCCGAACCGACCCCGAAAGCACATTTTTCGGGATTGAGCTTCATGTTGTATTTCCTCAAAATTTCGAACGTTTCCTGCAAATGGGTCAAATGGTCCTCTACGCGCAGGGATTTAACTAGCATGTCATCAATATAAACTTCCATTGATTTTCCTATTTGTTCTTCGAACATTTTATTTACTAGGAGTTGGTAAGTATCCCCTGCATCCTTGAGCCCGAAGGACATCACATTATAACAATACATTCCATATTTGATGATAAATGAAGTCTTTTCCTGGTCCTCCGGGTTCATCCGGATTTAGTTATACCCGGAATAGGCATCGAGAAAAGTGAGGATATCGTGGCTGGCCGTGGCATTGATCATGCGATCGATGTTGGGCAGCGGAAAGGAATCTTTGGGGCATGCTTTGTTTAAATCCTTATAGTCCACACACATTCTAAGTTTGTTCCCTTTTTTAGGGACTACAACTACGTTGGCTAACCATTCAGGATATTTCACCTCCCGAATGGGCCCTACTTTGAGAAGCTTGGTTACCTCGTCCTTAATGAATGCGTGCTTTCCTTCGGACTGGGGTCTTCTCTTTTGTGTCACCGGTCTGAACCTGGGGTCCAAACTTAGCCGATGCGTCGTTATGTCCGGTAGGATCCTTGTTATATCTAAATGGGACCAGGCAAAACAATCAATGTTATCGATAAGAAATTGAACGAGTTTCTTCCTGAGTTTGGGGCTAAACCCCGTTCCCAAGTATACCTTTCGCTCGGGCTAGTGCTCGATTAATGTGACTTGCTCTAGTTCCTCGATTGTTAATTTGGTGGCGTCGGAGTCCTCGGGAATCATGAAAGATCGAGGGACCCTTTGATCATCATCCTTTTCGATTTTTTGGTTGTCTGGCTGGGTCGAAGCCGATGTTTGTGATTGCTATTTGGTGTCCCATTCACCTTCCGAGCCCGATCCTTTTATCGGCGAAGGTGAGGACATTGGTTTAGCTTCCTCGACGGCAAACATTTCCTTCGTGGCTGGCTGTTCTCCGTACACCATTTTGACACCTCTCGATGTCAGGAATTTGAGGGCCTGGTGTACGGTCGAAGATACAACTCTCATGTTGTGGATCCATTGCCTTCCGAAAAGGGCGTTGTATCTTATATCGCCTTCGATCACGTGAAACTTTGTTTCCTGGATGGTTTCGGCCACGTTTATTGGTAGGATTATCTCGCCTTTGGTGGTTTCACATGACATATTGAACCCGTTTAGAACCAAAGTTGCGGGTATGATCTGATCCTGTAGGCCGAGCTGCTCTACTACCTTCAATCGGATGATGTTGGCCGAGCTACTTGGATCGATTAACTCACGCTTAATTTTAGTTTTATTCATGAGTACGGATATTACCAGTGCATTGTTATGAGGTTAGATGACTTCTTCTGCATCTTCATCATCAAAGGACAAAGTCCCCATGGGTACGTCATCTTGAGTCCGAGATCGCTTTTCCCTCACAATCGATGTTTTAGTGCGTTTAAGCACTAGTCCCTAAGGGGTATCGATGCCGCCGATGATCATGTGGATGACGTGCTGTGGTTCTTATTGCTCGTTTTGCTTACTGAAATCCCTGTTTTTAAAATGGTCCTTTGCCCTATCACTCAGAACATCCCGAAGGTGCCCTTTGTTAAATAAGCGAGCTACTTCCTCTCTTAGTTGCTTGCAATCTTCCGTTCTGTGGCCATGGTAACCATGATATTCGCACGTTTCATTGGGATTTCTTCGGGCAGGATCGGTCTGCATGGGTCGAGGCCATTTAGTGTCTTTGATGCGTACGATGACCGACACGATAGCGGATGCACCAACACTAAAGTTATATTCTGATAATAGAGGTGCTTCTATAGTATCGGCATATTTATCGAAGCCGCTCTTACTCATAAGTCCCCGAGAATTTTGCCCTCGATCAAT